TTTTGAAACATTCTTGTTGCTCCTTGTTCTCGATTRTGATGTAGTTTGGTTTAGTTTGATTTATTTCACATTCAAAACAAACAAAACTATGCAAACTTTAAACAAACTTTTTTTTTCAGTAACAGTTCTGTACTTTCAGACATAATAAAATGTTCTTTTTTCTTTACTTTGTAAATAATGTTTGATATAAACTTTTTTTTACCACATTTATTAAAGAAAACAAAATACACCGCATTATGATTTTTTTTCTGGACCAACGAAATAAGGCTGCTTAAAATACTAGTTGAAAAGTTATCATTTTACTTGCAAAAGTGCAGTCACGTTTAACTGATGCTATTTTATTGAATAGCATTTATTATAAAATTTATTTATTAACTTGGAATAACCTAAATTATGTCAATATGTATTTTAAAATAAAAAAAAAACAACTGAATAAGTCTTTGTTTATCATTTTAAGTTTTTCTTAAACTGACTGGTTCCCTTTTACGACCTATATATCAGTATAAAAATAAACAATATACACAATCAGTAAATAATTATTTAGATGTAATGTAGAGGACGTTTACACACGTTGTTTATATCTGCTTTCTATGGTGCTGAAATTAATTCTCYGTTCAGTTAAACTATGTTTTAATGTTATGAAATATTTCTCAACTTTATTGTAGCAGAATTTTTGCACGCATGGTGTCAGTGTGATCTTAAAGGTCTGCATTAAACGGGGTTRTTCTTATGTCATTGTGGTCCCACCTCTTCATACGCTCCTTTTCGCAGTCTGAGCGCAGCCTGTTTTGTTCTCGGTGCTGCGTTTGTGGACAAACAGTCAGTAGTAAAATCTGTAAGCAGCATTATCAGCCTTTGTAATTTTCTGAACTAGAGAATAGTTTCACGGTGTAGATGTTGCGTTTGTGACTGATTACTTGTGGGTTCGGAAATGAGGATGGAACAAAGAGGACGCGCGCAGCAGAGGTTCCGCGGACATGTAACTGGATTCACGGTGGCTGTTATTTTGTGGAGCGCAGCCTCAGCTCAGTTAAGGTATTCTATCCCCGAGGAGGTCAACGAAGGAACGGTGGTCGGAAACATTGCAAAAGATTTGGGGATAGATAAAAACATTTTGAAAGATCGGAAGTATCGGATCGTGTCCAGCGACGTCGATCCACTGTTCAGTTTAAATCCAAATGATGGAGTCCTGTACGTGAGCCGGAGGATTGACAGAGAGGAGGTGTGTGAGCAGAGCAGTCGGTGCGTGATCAACGTGAAAACCGTGCTGGAGAACCCGTTAGAGGTGCATTATGTTGAAGTGGAAATTCTGGATTTAAATGATCATTCTCCTGATTTCCCGGACAAAAACGCCACCCTGGAGATTTCCGAGTCTGTGTTGCCTGGAGCGAGATTCCAGCTCAAACCTGCGCACGATCCAGACAGCGGTCAGTTCTCAGTGCAGCAATATAAACTCAGCCAAAACGATCACTTCCGCTTAGAAGTAAAAGACAAAAGGAATGACATAAAAATTCCAGTATTGGTGGTTCAAAAACATTTAGATAGAGAGGCGGCAAACAGTCACTCGTTGATTCTCACAACTTTGGATGGAGGTAAACCTCCCAAAACAGGTCATATGAATATTCTGATAAATGTTTTGGACATTAATGATAACGCACCCATTTTTTCTCATGGTGAATATTCAGTGGTGCTGAACGAAAATGTTCCAGTTGGAACTACAGTCATACAGGTCAATGCAACAGATTTAGATGATGGTCAAAACGGAGATGTGACTTTTTCTTTTAGCAACAATGTAAATGAAAATATTTTGAACATGTTTGATATAAGCTCAAAAGGTGAGATAACCGTTAAAGGTGTCATTGACTATGAGGATAAAGATGAATATGAATTAGAAGTCCAGGCCTCAGATAAAGGCTTTGTTCCTCTTACAACAGAGAAGAGCATCACAATTAAAATAGTTGATATAAATGATAACGCACCGGAAATTGAAGTTACTTCATTTTCCAGCATGATTCCTGAAGATTCCAGACCAGGAACTACAGTCGCTCTGATCAGTGTGAATGACCTGGACTCTGGACTTAATGGGAAAGTATTCTGTACTGTCAATGAAGACGTACCATTCACTTTAACATCTGCTTTAAAAGATAAAACATTTTCTCTGATCACCAAATCTCCTTTAGACAGAGAGAAACAGTCACATTATGATGTGACAATAACTGCAAAAGATGCAGGTCAGCCTCCATTATCATCAGATAAGACAGTTAGTGTTGTGGTGTCAGATGTGAACGACAACAGTCCAAAGTTTTCACTGAGTCCATATACTTTCTATATCACAGAAGGTAATGATCCTGGAGCTTCTGTGTTTTCTGTCAAAGCATCCGATGGAGATGAAGGAGATAATGCACTRATTTATTATCATATAATCAGAGAAGGAAATGAGCACAATAAACTAACCTCATTCCTAAACATAAACTCTGATACTGGAGTAATTGTAGCACTAAAAAGCTTTGACTTTGAGAATCTGAAAACTTTCCAGTTCCAAGTTGTGGCCACAGATTCTGGAGCTCTGTCTCTGAGCAGC